ACGCCCACATAATCTTTTTCTACTCCTAATTGTTGATTTTCAAAAGGAATTCTATAAACCCCAGCTTTTTCCTTCATTCCTATCTTGTCCTTATCATTCCTTAGTAACTTGTAGATGTTCGGCGCTCTTTTATAAATAGATCTTGTGCTCTTATATTTACACAACTCTTCCATTATTCCTTCTACATTCCTGTTGTATGTAAATTTATTAAACCTATCTTTTGGCTTATTCCGTTTGTTTGTCCCTTGCTTGTAACCTTTGACCAAACCATTAATTGTAGATGTTTTGTATCCTAAACTTTTTGCAATATTCTTGATTCTGTTAATCTCGCTAATTCTATCTTGTACGTTGGTGCAATATAAGAATGCTCTTTTAATAAGCGACCTAAACGAAGACATTTTGTATTTAATCGGATCATTAGACCATGCCGGGATATATAGTGGAGCATGTGTGGGTTTTAGATACACTGCCGTTTGTACATATCCTTGTTTGAATCTTATGTTAATATCTAAAAAATGGATATTTGTATGGCTTTTTTGTTCAAGCTTAAGTTTTAACCCATGCTTATTGTTATTTATCCTACTTAAAAATTCCTCAATTCTTCGGTTATCCTTCCAAATTATCAACACGTCATCTACATATCTTTTGTATAATACAATGTCCTCCATGAATTTAATAAATTTAAAAGTTATTCGAAAGTTGTATTCGAATAGTTCTTGAAGATGGCCTATTGAAATTGGGCTGAAAACGTTTGAAATTAAAGGAATAATAAGCTCAGCAAGAGTTTGGTGTTTTGTTTATATTTGTAAAGATACGGCTGAGGAAGTGAGAATAGTTGCAATGGCGGCACCGGCCAGTTATTATAAGGTATATAGAAAGATTGCTTTGAAGCTGGTTAAGACTAACTGCAAGTTGAATTTCCTTAAGGAATGTGCTGAAAAGAAAGTATTTCCAATGTCCATACACAGGATTAGCATCCCGGTAGAATGCTATATGTTAAAAAGAAGATTCCAAGAGACATGTTTACGTAAATCTATTAAGCTTGTAAAAAACAAAAGATATAGAATTTTAAAGGAGTGTATTGAGTTGGAAGATACAATATATCAAAAAGATCCGCAATTGTTAAAAGAAATCAATGATAAGGTAGTAAGACTAACGGACAGGGTAACAAATACCCTTGAAAAGAAATATTTCAAAAAAATAAGGTGGAT